CTCCAGAGGGCACAGAGGACACGGGGATGACTCCAGAGGGCACAGGGGGCAGGGGGCTGACTCCAGAGGGCACTGAGGACAGGGACCTGGCTCCAGAGGGCACAGAGGACAGGGACCTGGCTCCAGAGGGCACAGAGGACAGGGGGCTGACTCCAGAGGGCACAGGGGGCAGGTACAACGTCTGATGCTCAGATGCAGATCATCTGACTCTACCAAGGTGCTAAAATGAGCGTCGCCAAACCCACAGCAGGTGGGTAAGAATGAGGGCTTGGGCACTCTGTGGATATCGGGTAAGGCCACCTAGAGGGGTAGCAGGGTGGCCTGTCCTGAAAACTGTTCCTTGGGGACTTTCTGTTACAGGTGTGTCTAGTTTCTTAGGAGCACCCCGCATGCTGCTAGTTTAGACGGCAGCCTTGCGAGGAGGTGATCCTAAAAGGATAGAGCCCTCCTCTCCGAGTCACTGGGCCAGATTCTCTGAAACCGACCAACACTGAGCACATTGAAGGTTCTCTGCTAATTGACTGACTTGGCCTGCAGCTGAGATTCAGAGCCTTGCCCTAGATACACAGTAGAGGACAAAGAGGAAGATCAGAACATGATGATGGAAGAATTAGGGCAGGTCTCCCTAAGCCATGCCAGTCCAGAGCCACAAGATGGCTGCTGAGAGCTAGGAGCAGAGCAGAAAGCGCCAACCACAAACCTGCTCACTTCCTGAGAGGTTGTGGCTACCCTCCAGGGCTCAAGAAGTGCCACTTAGCCCTGTAGTGACAGTGTGGGAGCATTAAGGTCTTTCCTTCTAAACTAGTAGATAGAGGGCTGGAAGTCCACAGCCCCGCAAGCCACCAGTTCCTTGAGTTCCCTCAAACAGACCTGGCCACTTTAGTGCTAGGAAAAAGCAGAAGCCTGGTCTTGCTGGATGGCACCAGCTTGTGCAGGATTGGGCCCAGGAGTCCTAACCCTAGGTTCTCAACACTCATGGAAGGAGCCCTGTGCTATTTCCACCCTGACCCAGGGTGGCAGACTGTCAGTTTTCAGCCCGTCTTCTGACCCCTCCCTCCCTCTTGGCATCTGGCAGATCGGAGCAGCTGTTGAAGGAACTGGAAGCCAAGCACGACAGGTGCTCGGACGTCACCATGATCTGCTCGAACCCCAGGGCCTCGCCCGGCTTGGCCCGGTGGGCAGAGAGCTACGAGGCCAAGTGTGAGCGGAGGCAGGAGACCCGAGAAAGCCGCCGCCGCCGCCGCAATGAGACCACTTGCCGCCAGGCAGGGAAGGCGCTGAGGACGCAACACAGAGAACAGCTCCAGAGAGCCCGGCAGCTACAGTTCCTCCGAAGGCGGAACCTGGAAGAGGAGAGGAAAGGCCAGGCCAGAGAGCCAGGACCCTGCAGCAAGACAGACGGAGGGGCAGGCCAGGCGGCTGCCCAAAAGGAGGCCTTGCCTGGTGCCAACGAGACCTCCTTCCTCGGACAGCAGGTGAGATAAGAAAACAGTGCTGCAGGCCCTAGGGTGGAGGCTCTGGGAGGTTCAAGCGCTGAGAGTCACTAACAAAGAACTCTGGCAAGTCCCTTCCTCAGCATGCAGTCGAGTCTCCGTTAGCCATCGACCATTGCTCTCGGGGACTCTGCGCTGCCTTTATTTAACTTCTACATCTGCCTATTGAGAGAAAGGCCATAACTGTACAAACAATCTAAAGCCAATAACTAGTATAAGATCAAGATTTTTTTTTTTTCTGAGATAGGGTCTTGCTGTGTAATCCAAGATGGCTTCAAATTTGTTATCATTCCTGAGTGCCAGGGCTTCAGGTGAACAAGATTTGCAGATTCTTCTTGTTCTCTCAGTGCTGAGACCCGAGGCCTGGCAGGCCGGCATTCTGCCATGGAGCCACACGCCCAGCTCTGTGGCATCTTCTGCTGTTGTCTTGTGGCATCCATTCCACCATCATTCACCAGAGATTTACTGAGTGCTTTAATATGCCAGGGGCACAGGCCAGTAGTGTTTCTCATGTCCCGGCGCGCGCACACACACACACACGGATAGGAGGGAGAAGCCGTGTTCGTAACAGCAGGCTCTGTGTTATCCTCTTTGTTGTCAACAGACTGAGGAAAGGAATGGGCTCGAGTAGCACTGGGCCCTGTCACATATGCGCAGGGCAGGTCCTTCATAGAGCTTGTGCGTGTGGCGTGTTGGGAGGTGTCCACGCAGGTGCACATGCCTTCATATGTGGAAGTCAAAGGTCCACTCCAGGTACCATTCCTTGTTTTTTGATGCTGGGTCTGTCACTAGCCTGGAGTCACCATGTCGGCTCCGCTGGATGGTCAGCAAGGCCTCTGGGGACTAAAAGCCTCGCCTCACCTCTCGGTGATGGAATTTCAGGCAGCCCCCGCCAGCCTGGCTCTAAAAGAGCCGGCTTCTGAGCTTCATGCTCACAAAGCAGGCACTGCACCGACTGCACTGTCTCCCTGGTCCCTCCTTGAGGCTGCCACAGAACAACCATCCAGGAACATCAGTGCAAAAGAGCAATGGCCTGCTTACAGCACGAGGCCTCCGTGTGGCGGGGGCAGGGGAGGGGTTGAAGAAGGAACACGCAGTGCCTGGAAATCCTGCCTGCCTGTGGTTATCGAGTCAGCCCGTGATGGAATCCCAGACGTTCCTTGGCCTTTCAGTGCTGTGTTTCCAACAGAGACCGTCTGATTTTGTAAGAGAGGAGCTAAAAAGAGCAGACTACCTGCTGCCGCCGCCCCGTCCGCCCAACAGGTCCCCACTCTGTCTTCTTTCAGCAGGAAAGCTCAGGGGTTCTGCGGTTCTAAGGAGAGGCAGGCAGTCCCTCTAGGCCCTCTGGGACAGACAGGCACCAGAGGCCCAGGAAGGGCCTGATCTGACGTCTGTCAGTCATTCCCTGGCCACTTCTCGACATCAGCACATGGCTGAGTAGCTGAGAATTAGGGAAGACCTTCCCTGTCTGGCCAAGGAGACACATTCTGTCTGTCCAGGACAAGAAAGGAGAAGCACTGAGGTGCCCTCGGATGGTTTTGGTTTTCTAGGTGGGAAGTGTCACTCGGACGGCTGTGACAGACGACTGTACGCAGGGTAGCTTGCACAAAGGTGTTTCTCATGATGTCTGAAGCCCAAGTCCAAGCCCAAGGCTCCAGTGTACCTGGAATCTGCTGAGGACACTTCCGTGTGCAGATGGTCACGCACTCTGTCCACACGTGGCAGAAACAGGCAGAGACACACACCTGCATAGCTCTTCTGGTAGGGTACAAATACTATTCACGAGGGCCCACGCTCAGACAGAAGTATTCCGCAGAGGCTCATCTCCCAACACCATTAGAATCTCAACATGTGGGTTTTGGGAAAACCGCCGGTCTGTGCAGATGTGGTCCCCATTTTGCTTTGCTTCATTTCACCTTGGTTTTTTTCTCCAGTGCTGAGGATGAAACTGAGGGCCTCGCGTGTGCCCAGCGAGTCCGCTAGCTCTGGGCTACATCCCCATCCTCTCGAACCACTGCGCTTGTCTAGAAAACTTAAGAGGCCCTTCAGAGTGATATTTAGCATCCTTCATTTGCTTCCCAGGTAACAGGGACAAGCTGTGAGGTTTTCCCAACCCCACATCACTCCTCCTCAAGCATCCAAGGGCGTTTGGATGACCACCGCTCCTCACACCGGAGAGCCTTTCCACCACAGGACTCTGCCACCAAGAAGCCACACACACAACACCAGGGTGAGAACACAGCCCTGACCTGCCCAGGCAGCCCAGCTCCACCCCTCCCTCCTTCCCTGAGCTCAGTCATCCCATCTGCCTCTCAGGTACCCAGACAAAGGCAGAAGAGGCACAGCCAACAATGAAGAATGATGCCAGTCAGCAAACCAAGTGAGTTCCTTCTGTGTCCCGGCCCCAGTGCTTCACAATTTGTCCAACCCTCTCCTCAAAATGCTTCCTTGGACACCTCTGCTGGACAGAGCACAACCTGCCCACCACAACCAGGATGGGGGAGCCCTTCCCCGCCCTGCCGTTCTTCAGCAGGGATGCCAGATGCAGCTGACACCCTGCCTGCTCCCAGGTTTCATTCTTTGGCCCACTGTCATGATTTCCTTCTCTTCCCAGCTGTGGAGTTGCTGTCCTGGACAAGGTGAGTGGACCTCACTTGGAGGGGGGTTGCTCAGAGGCACCTAAGCTCTACCATTCTGGGATTCCACGGTAAACTCAAGCTGGGCTGGAGGGACACGATCCTCCAGGATGGCTGAATGGTCCTGAGCATAGATGTGGAGCCGAGGAGGACCCTGCCACATCCAAGGCAAAAGGGATCTGCTACATGTAAGCTAGCCAGGGCTCTGCTTCTACGCTGAACTCCTCCTGAATCTCTTCCATCTCTCTCTCTCTCTCTCTCTCTCTCTCTCTCTCTCTCTCTAGGACATCATTCAACTCTCTGAATACCTCAAAGTGAGTACCATGGCAACCCTCCCTCATCCCACCCATCAGCCCCACCTCCCAGCCCTACCCCCACCCTGCATACAGCTCTCCACCTACTCTTGACAGGGTAATCTTTCCTTTTGCATTTTTCCATCTAGGAAGCCCTCCGAAGGGAGCTGATCCTAAAGCAGAAAATGGTGATTCTCCAGGACCTGCTGCCTGCCCTGAGCCGGGCTTCTGACAGCTCTTGGACGGTAAGAGCAAAGTCTTCCAAGTGCACAGGCTTCCAGTAAGCCCACCTCATTTCTCTTAGCACTCTCTAGCAAGGGAAGGGCTGTCTCACTGGGAAGAGGCAAAGGAGGGGTGCTCAAATGCAGAGGTCAAAGGGTCACGGTAAGTGTCTTCCTAGGGAAGACCCAGAACCAAAAGCAGACAGAGGCCTGCTTTAAACCTGTGGGAAGACAGGGAAGGAAGTCCCTTTCCCGTAGGTCTTTGTGTTTGTTAGTTACTCACGTTGTGGACGCACCAAAACACCCGAGAAAAGCAATCTTTAAGAAGGGTTTATTTAGGGTTATGGCGCTAGAGTCTGGCCCATCCTGGTGGGGAGGGGGTCGTGGCAGCAGGACGGGAGGCAACTGGTCACGTCGCATGCGCAGAAAAGAAGCCAAGACAGAGACGCTGGTGTTCCTCTGGCCGTCCCTGCTTTTTTTTTTTTTTTTTTTTTTTTTTTCCATTGGGAACCCCAGCCCACGGAAGAGCACTGCCCTACTCCAGGTGGTACAGTCTGCAGGCTCCTGGGAAGACACACCCAGGGGTTTCTCTCCAGGGTGATTCTAAATGTCAGCAGAAACGCAAACTTAACCATCATCACAGATTCATACCAAGATTCACACCAGCCAGCCTGCAGCAACACTCAGCCCAGAAATGAGTGGTAAAACAGAGAAACCTTAGCGGGTGATCTAGTGTGGTTTTCTGTTGGCCACGATGGGCCAAGGCCTTGCCCACAGTCGCATAACTACTTAGCAGAGTCGGGTCTGTAAGGTTGGTCTATCATTGTCTGGACAGCCAGAGGTCTTGCTGCTGCTAACAAGGAAACTTGCTTTGTTGTTCCGGTTTTGTTTTGAAACAGGGTCTTGCTATGTAGCAAGATGACCCCGATGGCCTAAGTCCTATGTAGACCAGGCTGGCTTGAACTCACAGAGATGCACTTGCCTCAAGTGCTGGAATTAAAGTCCTGCGCCGCCGTACCTGGCTCAGGCTCCTATTTTTTAGAGAGTTCATAGTTTTGAAAACAAGACACATGCCAAAATAATACAAAGACATGGAAAAATAAGAGAAATGCTTCCAGGGTGAAGCAAACTACAGGAGGGAGGAGATAATTCCAAAGAAGGGAGCTGTGGGCACATGAGCTAAGTTACAAAGCATTTGCCAGGCAAATGAGGACACAAGGACTGGATTTCAAACAGGAGCATGGACAGACAAGGGCCTTACCATTATTTGGTTTGGTATACTGATTCTCTTTCTCTTTGTATCAAGGTTCTTTATACAAATTCTTAACTGAAAATTCCAAAGAACTTCAGATGTGCACCATATTAGAACTTACTTTGTTAAAAATTAAAACAGAAATTTAAAAACATTAATTTTGAAATAACAATAGACTGAATTACATTAAGTAATTACATTACATTAAAATACAGAATAACTTAAATTCTGTATTTTAATGAAAAGCTTATTTTTCAAAGGAAGAGTAGAGAGGCTACATTGCTATCCATTTACAATATCCGGCCGAACTAAAGATATCTAAGCTCTACTCACTTCTCAATTCAACCTCTTGTGGTCACTCTTTTAGTTGAAGTATTTGAAAGCATTCAGTGTCACGGAGACACATGCTGAAAAGGGAAAGGCCTTGCAGATCTCTTGAAAGAGTGTCTGGGCCCTCATGTGATCAGCAGGTGATAAGCAGGTTGGGGGCCAGAGCCACAGGCAGCTGCTGAGCCAGAGCAGCAGCGTCCAGGCCTCCAAGCATCTCACTGCTAGGAAGGTTCCTGCTTAAAGAAGAGAAACAGAGCCAGGCAGTGGCACACGCTCTTAATCCCAGCGCTCGGGAGGCAGGCCGACCTGGTCTACAGAGTAAGTTCCAGGACAGCCAGGGCTACACAGAGAAACCCTGTCTCAAAAAACCAGAAAGAAGAAAGAAAAAAGTGAAACGGGAGGGTATGGAACACTTGAAGAAGTTCGCAGTGACACAAAAGATCACCACTCCCACCCTGCAAGCCAAAACATTTCTTTCACATCAGTCACTGAACCTGAATCCAGGAGTGTCTCTGGTCAGGCTTCCACTTGCCACGTCAGGACCTGAGGCCAGCAGCTGGGCATGTGTGAGGTGGTTTCCGATACTGAGCTAGATTGAGATCAGCTCACCCACTCCTTCAGCAGATACTTAGTAACTTTGAACTCTATGCTGGGGCTTCCAGAACAACAAGAGTTCTTGCTCTCAAAGATGTGCAGTCCCGCACGGAGCGTCACACAGACGACTCCAGTGAGACAAGGCTGCATGCGTGTGTGCAGCCTGACACACAAATGAGAGTGACTGCCTGAGGTAGGGGAAGGAAGGCTCTGTGGGAAGAAACCATTGCAGCTGGGTCTTAAAGGATGAGTAGGAGCTCACCAGGTCGGTAGCAGCTTGATGAGGAGGAAACGCAGAAAAGCATTTGCAAAGTTGGAATGTTTACAGGCCTCGGTGTGGCCAAGCGTTGGGTACAGCCCACTGTGATGGACAGGAAGGGGTCCTATCTGAATAGTGTGACACGCACTTTGTCAGGAGATTGAACCGTCTCTGCCAGGGTATGTTTCAGATGTAGAGCACGGGCTCCCTCTTTAAGAAAAGCCACAGAAACACACACATACATTGTGTATGGAGGACCGCTGAGACTGCATGCCATTCTCATGTTGAGAAACACGGTTCCCGGCGGGGAGGGAGTTGGCAGTTAATCTCACTCAGGGTTGAGGTCCCACACTCTGCAGAAGCTGCCTGCCTTTGGAGGAGTGTCGTCAGCACAGCACTGAACCAGAAGGGGCCAATCGGCCTATGTTCACAGCCTCTCTAACCAAAGGCCCGGCTCTGAGTGAGGGCTGGGAATGAGGCAGGTATAGTAAGAGCTATTCCTGTAGCACTCAGGAGTCTGAGACAGGAGGATTCCAAACCTCAGGCCAGCCTGGGCTGTATGTTGAGACCCCTTCTTTTTTTTTTTTTTTTTAAGCTATTTCTGTCATAAAGTCGGGGGAGGTTGTTACCCCAGACTTCAGCCCAGATGCTGAGGTTCCTCTCTCTCATCTTTCCACCCTTCCCAGGTCTTACACTTAACCTTTTCTTCTTCCTCCTAGCTCCCAGAAGCTTGTGTTTAAGAAAAGTCCCAAACACAATACTTCAATTCCATCCCTCCCGAGAAAGCCTCAGTAGCAATGAGACAGTGGACCTGGTGATTCTGGGAAAATAACTGAGTGAATGAGGCCAGAACTGGGACTCAGGTGTCAGCCCATTGTCCAATTTGTCCTTTCTATTTGGTTCCATGTATGGATCTCCAGCTTCTTGTGTAGAGATGTTCATGGGAAGATCTACATTAGAACCCCAGAGTCAGTGTCCTCCAAGACACTGCCCGGAGCTGCTGAGAACCTAGAGCGAGGTCTGGCCGCCAGAACAAAAGTAGCTCTGCCAATAGAGGTAGCTAGAGGGTAGCTCTGGGCTTTAAGATCTGTAAAGCAGAACTGAGGCCTTGAGGTGCCAGCACAGTGGGTCACAGACTGGCTTCGCAACCCATGCAAGCTCTGTCAGAGCAGAGATGAGACATGGGACGGGGTTTCTGTGGTGAGGCGTAGTTCTCTGGAATCTGAGGGAGCAAACAGCAGCAAGACCTGAAGCCTCAGACCGGGTGTGTGTGGCCTCCTGGTCGCCTTCCTCCACCAGGGCGGTCTGTCCGAGGTGTTCCAGGCTCCTGGGGTAGGTCTGTAGGGGCCTCCAGAGCTTCTCAAATGCTCTAACGCTGGCGTCGGCATGGGGAGAGTCGGGGGCAGGAGACTGTGTGCTCCATTTGCAGCAAATTGGCTGGAACACCACTGCTTGCCTTAGGGAGTCCGGAAGGGCAGAGCTGAGGACACGAGTTTGCTCATGCCCTAGACTTGGGTGGCAGTCCCTATCCCTACTTGAAAGGGGACACTGTGCATTGTCTTGTTTTGCAACATAAATGGAAAAATATTCTGGGTTTGGGCTGAGGTACATAAACACTTGGAAGAGGAAAATACTGAATGAAAGTGAGACAGGAGTGGGACGCTACCCCAGATGACATTTGGAGGATGCTGTCTGGGGCCTGTGTTCCTTCCAAACTATAAGGAGGCAGTCTTTAAACTTGGTGGGTGTGAAAGAAAAGCATCCAACTCAGTTGGAAGACCAACTTGGAGGGCAGCAGGGTGGGGCCAGCTGAGATCAGGGCCTGCAGCCTGAACAGGCTTCTCTGGGGATGCAGCTGCTCTACCAGTCACCCTGGGAGGGACAGCGGAAGCCTTTGTCCTCCTTCATTTGTCCCAAGACCTGTGGTTATTGCAAATGCCAAATCCTTTTCTCTCTGCTCTTTCCCACATGCGACTGAGAAAAACATTAATATTAGGAGGCACTTTAAAAAATTGTTTTTGGCAAAGGCTTTTGTTTTTGCAAGGCCAAGCTGAGTAACACAGGAAGCAGAAAGGGTGGGGGCTCCCCCTGGCCCCTACAGTCAGAAGAATTAAACAAGTAAGATAGAACAGGAGCCCTGTGATTCCACTTCCTGCCTTCCAGCACCCTGACTCTAAGGGGCCCCCTCAGCCCAGAGGCCTTCTCCTGCCCCCAGTCGGTATGGCCATGACCGGCCAGGAGTGGTGGGACTGCTTGGAGCCACAGCATCTGGGTCTGGTGGAAGGCCCCACTGAGGAGAAGTCAGAGCAGGAACAGGAAAGCCGTTTACCGACTAGCTGCTCACGGCCTCCTCTCTGAGAAACACTGAGAAACACACTCTCGTTAATGACACCCCCACTGCTCCAGAGACACACACCTGGGGTACAACTCAAGGCTGGCTCAGGTAGAAGGAGCAACGGAGTCGGCCAAATGCTGAGAGACTGACACCAGAACGGCCCCTCCCCACCTTGCTCTGCTCTCCTAGATCAAGGGATGCCTCAAAGTGCCTGAGGCACCACAAGACCGGCGGATGAGGGGGAGGGGAAGACAGACCAGCAGACTGACCAGCTTCTGAAGCCCCCCCCCCCGACACACACACACACACACACACACACACACACACACACACACTCCACCTCCAGCTCCAGGCCCATTTCTCACTTTTTAAGGAATGTCTTGCTTGAGTCCTGCCAGGCAGGGAAGGACGCACACACTAGGAGAATCAGGCCACAGGTTCTACAGCCTCGGATTCTACCAACACTGGGTCTAGAATAACTGATAGAGAAAAAAAAAAATCTTGTTTTTCTTGTCTTTCTTGTAACTAGTCCCAAGTCAATCCATTACAGCTGACATTTATACAGTGAGTGAGCCAACGAGTATTTGAAGTGTATAGGAAGATGTGCATAGGCCTAGATAATGTGCACATTTACATATAAGGGATGAGCATCCTGGGGGCTCCTAGGGACTAGTCCTCAGGGGACATGAGACTGTCCCCACTGTCCTGGGGCCTGGACTCAAGGTCTCCCCAGCGTCAGTCTCTCTCATCTCAGGGGTTGTATACGTCCATCTGGTCTTCAGGCGGTCTTCCCTCAGCCTATCCCCGGGTTCTGACCAAACTAGACCAGAATTCATTTGACTGCACTCAGTTCACTGAAGGCCTACCTCCATATATGATCGCGTTCTAGAGTACTGCAGCTCGCTGTAGCATGAAAACCTGAAGGGTGGACACAGGAGCAGACACTTGTTGCAGATACAGGCCTCCTTGTTATGGACAAAGGTCCAGATCCAGGAAAGCGGCAGTGCCTGGGGGAAGGGACAAACCAGAGAAATGGCAGTTTAGGTCTCTTCATGGCTTTCTCTGCTGCCTGGGCCATCTGTTAGAGAAACTCAAGGTACAAGAAGGATCTGGAGCCAGTCTGGATCACCCTTGCCCTTGGCCCGGCAGAGACGGAGACCAGCTTCCCCTCAGAGCTCCTTAGCCAACTCTGACATGAAGGGGTTCATCCACACAGCTCAGAGCTTTGCTGCAGGTCAGGGCTGGCGAAATGCAGCTAGCTAAGTTTCGTATTTTTTAGCCTTAACGCATCAACTAATCCTGTTTACTGTAGGGGCAACTTAATGAAGACAAATTGAAAGGCAAACTGAGGTCCCTGGAGAACCAGCTCTACACCTGCATGCAGGTAAGCACCTGAGAATACTTCTAGCACATTAACTTCAGTAAAATTAAAATGCTTGAATCCTAGCTGGGCGGTGGTGGCGCATGCCTTTGAGCCTAGCACTCAGGAGGCAGAGGCAGTTGGATCTCTGTGAGCTCTAGGCCAGCCTGGTCTACAGAGTAAGTCCAGGACAGCCAGGGCTGCACAGAGAAGCCTTAGAAATGCTACCAAATGGAGACTAGCACACACTCTTTCCTCGTTGTGCTCACCTGTTTTCACTCTGGTCCCTAATTGGCCATGCCACTGTCTTCACTGTCCTTCTTTGTCCCAGCATGCATCCCTTTGAGCTCTGGGAAGGAACCCCAACACTGACCGTGCTGTTGGCTCGTAGGGAACTGTAGGGAGGGGCCCTTTGTAAGGATTCACACCAACAGCCAGTGTCCACAAACCCCCATCCGAGGGCCGGTGAGGAGGATGTGACAGGAAATCATAAAAATGCTTTTCATCTCAGGAACAAGGCTTTTTTAGTAGTAACCTAGAGGAAGCAAAAAGCTCAAGAGTCTGAAAGAAAGTAAACCTGGCTTTCCTGTGAGGTTGATTGTATTCAGCTTCAGTAATCTCTTGATTTGGCCTAATCTCAAGTTCCAAAAAAAAAAAAAAAATCAGTTTCCCTGCGTGGTGAGAAAGTGGAAAAGCAGGAGCCAGTAGATGGCTCAGCAGGTAAGGATGCTTGCCACCAGGCCTGATGACATGAGCGCCAACCTGGAATCCACACAGTAGGAAGAGAGAGCCGCGTCTCCATCACAAGCTCTCCTCCGACCCTGACACACACTCTGTGGCAAGCACACACACAAACAGTAAAGAAAAAGTAAGTAGGGAATGGGTAGGCTTCTCTCGTCTGGAGCTGGAGGATCAGTCGTTTCCCACACAGCTGAGAACAGCTTATGTTGTCCGTAGCAGGGGTTCTCTACCTGTGGGTCACAACCCCTTTGACAAACCTCCATCTCCAAAAATATCTACATTACAATTACCATAACAGGACCAAAATTGCTGTTAGAGAGTAACAATGAAGATAATTTCGTGGCTGGGGTCACCACAATGTGAGGAACTGTGTTTCAGGGTCACAGCGTTAGGAAGGCTGAGAACTACTCACTGGTCTATAGGTCTCCTGCTGTCTATGTCTCGTTTCTCTTTTCCACGTCAGCTGCTTTGTTTCGCTCTTATTAGTGACCAGCACGCAAGCCAGACTGCAAGTCCTTACTTTGTCCGTTGTCTGAGAAAGATCCTGCCATTAGGCTGACCGTGAACGTGTGACCCTCCCACTGGCGTCCCAGCGCTGGTGGGCAGACGTGAGCAACCGTGTCCCGGCAGTCTACCGATCTTCTATTGGAAGTGATGCTGACCTGTGATCACTACTCTTAAGTCCAATAACTAGGACATCATCATGTTTGATGCCAAACAGTCACTCTTGGGTTTAGTTTTTAGTGAAAATCCCAAAATGCAGAGCACCCTTTCAGATATAAATACAAGAGTTCAGACAATCCCCAAGTGAAACAAAAATGGTTCCTAATGGCCCCTTCCTTAGCCTTCACTGTTTGGACTTGAAAGGAGAGGCTACCTGCCTTCCCCCAAACCACAGGGCAAAAGGTGAGGTCCCAGGGGATCAACTCCTCACTGGAATCCATTTCATCTGATTTGGGGGTATCTTCCTGGATTCTGAAAGCAGAGGGAACATGTAACACAAACGTTCTCTTTTAGAACACCAAGTCCTCCAAACAAAATGTCTCCTGGACCTTTTTCTTTTAAGCAGCAGTGTGTCTCTGTTTGGAAATTGTTTCCAATGGCGTGAGGGAGGCTCAACCACAGTACAGAGCAGTTGGGACGGGGTGGGGGCGCTGCCAATGGCCGGCACCTCTCAGGCAGCCTGGGCGGCCCCCTTCAGCTCCAGCCTGAAGAGGTCCTCCAGCCTGGCCCTCTACCCCAGGCCCTACACTCTTCTCATGTGTATATCCCCACCGTTGGGCAGGCAGACGATCAATGCATGTTTGTTGAATTGCCTCTGATTTACAGAAGTACTCCCCCTGGGGAATGAAAAAGGTGCTGCTGGAGATGGAAGAGCAGAGAAGCAGTTACGAGCAGAAGGCTAAGGAGTCACTGCAGAAAGTGTTGGAGGAGAAAATGAGTGCAGAACGGCAGCTGCAGAGCATGCAGGTGGAGAGCTGTGAGGTTCTGGGGGACTGACACCCTGGGAGCGCGCCCCAGAGTCAGGGGCCAGCTACACCGAGGGCGCGAGCTACCCTGCCATTTAAACTTCAAGAGTTCAGGGTGCTCCCTTCTCCAAGACTCTGCTCCTTGGGAACCGTCTCTCCTCTGTCTCTCTCAGCTGTCCCTGGCTCTGGCAGAGCAGAGGTGTGAAGAGTGGAAGACGCAGTATGAGGCCCTTCAGGAGGACTGGAAAACCCTAGGGGACCAGCACAGGGAGCTGGAGAGCGAACTGCACGTGCTTCAGTGCAAGCTACAGGTACAGGCCCTGGGAATGGGAGAGGAAGGAGGGCAGGAGCGGGAGGAGGGGGCTAGGGAGAAAAGGTGCTCCTGGGCCCCAAAGCTTGGGCACATGTACCAGGCAGTTTTCAGATCTTCGCCTACTGCCTCTGAGTTATGACTCTGCCCTCACAAATGATGCCTGCCCTGTGGGCAGACAAGCAAAGTACCCATGAGAGAGCTATTAACTAAATACAAACGCCTGGGCTGGGATAGCCATCGGGTTGATAAGCCTAACGGCACACTATTCAAACACACGCAGCACCCAGGGCACAAGTGCCCACTGCTTTGCACAGAATAAATTTTACTAATTTCTTTATAGGTGCTACTACATCCTGTCAATGTTTCTTAACAAATTACCATAAACTCTTGGCATTCTCAAAAGTTCCTACACTTTAGAAGAGCTAATTAACTTCTCTAAGCCTGTTTCCTCATCAGCAAAATAAGGGTCTTTCTATCACAGGATTGTTGCATGGATTAAATATGAACATCCACACAAAGTGTCTGGCACTTGATACAGGTTAGGAATTACCCTGCATGTGTTTCCTCTGGCCTGGGTGGAGACCTAACATCCCCAAAACATCAGATTAAACGGCTTGGGCCAGTCAATCATCCGGCTAACAAACCACCCCTCAGGAAGGTAGATTCCTGCTACACCATGCCACAGAGGGAGAATAATTATCCCTTTAATAAGATAGTGTCCTTTCTCTTCCCAGAAGGCCTGCCACTGGTGTAGCCACTTACAGAGCCATAGCCACGCTGCTGGGTTAAGCCTGCCTGAGTTTCTGAGTTTCTCAGAAATTCGTAACTTTCCTTCTTCCTCTCAAACATTTGCCAAAGTCTATATGCCTCCAGAACACTCTGGGATTTCTAACTCTTTTTCCCTGGAAGTTATTCTCTCTGTCCCCTTTGCCATTTGGCTGCTTGCCAAACCGCCAAACATCCATCCCTAAGTCAAAAGGCAAGGCTTCCTTTTCTTCCTCTCCATCTTTGTCCTCTAGGCAGCTGCTGAGATTTACAGTATTCTCATTTTGTTTTCTCACTGATGTTATTCTTTAACTAAGAAAAAGTTTTCTTCAGAATCTGTTCTTAATTTTTTTTTTCTTTGCTTGTTTGTTTCTCTGTGTAGCCCTGGCTGTCTTGGACTCACTTTGTAGACCAGGCTGGTCTCCAACTCACAGAGCTCCACCTCCCAAGTGCTGGGGTTACAGGTGTGCATCACCATGCCCGGCTTTTGTTTTGTTTTGTTTTTGTTTTTGAGACAGGATTTGTTTCCCCATGTAGCCTTGGCTGTCTTGAACTCATTTTGTAGACCAGGCTGGCCTCGAATGCAGAGCTCTGCCTGCCTCTGCCTCCGAGTGCTGGGATTGCAGGGGTGTGCCACCACACCCAGCTTTTACATTTTTTTAATCTTAACAATTTTTCTTAAATATTTTTCTTAAGATTTTAGATAGTTTCTTTTTCTCCCTCCAGACTCTCTCATATAACCCTCCCCACTCTCCTTCAAATTCATCACCTCTTTTTCAGTTACTGCTTGCATATATGTACATGCATATACATATGTATGTGTGTGTTTGTGTGTGTGTATATATATATTCCTAAACATAACCTGTTGAGTCCATATATTGCTTGTATGTATTTTCCAGGGCTGACCATTTGACACTGGACAGCCAGTCGGTTCTTCCCTGGGCAAGACCACACTCCTGCCCCCAGCCAGCCTTCCTCGCTTGCTGTAGTTCTTTGTGTAGGGCATGTTCTCTGGTGTCATCCTTGTTCAACACACATTTGGGCATTCACTTTGGTGAGACTCTATGGCTGTCGCTTCTGATGGTGCTAGGAGACAATCTCACACCCTGACCCTCTGGCTCTTACACTCTTTCCACTCCCTCTTCTCAGTGCTCCCTGAGCCTTAACTATGGAGTTGTTTTGTAGATTTATTCATTGAGACTGGGCTCCACAACTCTGCATTTTGATTGGCAGTGGTTTTCTGTGGTGGCCTCCACCTGTTACAAAGAGAAGTTTCCTTGATGTGTACTTAAATTCTTTTATTAACAAATCTAAGAACTCAGAGAGGAGAGCCCATCCCCCAGTCACACATGGCGCCGCAGGTGAGGCCCCAAAGTTTCCAGTAACACGTTCATCTCCCACTTCACTTCCTCTGCAACTGGGAGGAGCTTCCCTGACAGCGGATGGGTCTTTACGATTTCCCCTGAGCAGGGGTCAGAGAAAAACACACTTGACGAAGGAAGGCCTGAGACTTTTGGAGACACAAATCTCACCAGCCGCACGAGAGCTGCATCTCAGCCTTTACTTTCTTCTTCCCAGGATGCATAAGGAAATTCTTAGGAGAGTGCTTTGAGGCATTTAAATCTTAGTTCTTTGTGGAAATAGCCTTAACTACCCATCTCCCTCAAACTTCAGAGATCCTCCTGCCTCTGCCTTCCTGAGTGCTGGGAAAAAGTAAAGGGACATGAAACCTGTGAAAAAGTTTTGACTTTTTCAAGGTCAGGGGACGTGTCCCTGTAAACGTCAAGTCAAATGTACAGCTACCAACGTGTGGGGCTGGGGGACACGGGAGGGAAGAGCTTCCACAGCCCTGACACCCACCTGCGAGTTCTGCCCTTTTCTGCTCCATGGCACCTGCTCCATCTCTGTCCACACTGGCCTGCTCCTTCGTGGCTTCTCCTTGTCTTCCAGGGAGCACATAGCAGAGACTCACAGATGAACCAAGCTCTGCAGCTTTTGAAAAATGAGCAGCGGGAGCTGCAGGCCAAAATCAAGCACCTGCAAGGAGACAGAGAGCAGCAGAGCTCTGCCACCCAGGGGCTGCAAGGTACTGTCTTCTGGGACTTCACAGGGTCATGAGAGCCACAACTGAGTGGGCTCAGAGGTGGGAGACTGTGGGGAGGCACTGTCTTCATTTGGGGTTGGCTTTAGGACTTCATTTTTCCTTGAGGGAAAGTGTCAATCAACCAAAATGAATATCAGTGGTGCTTCAGTAGTGAACACTGAATGCTCGCCTCTCCAGGGTCCCTGTGGGCCAGGCCACAGCTGCTCCCGAATTAGTCACATGCGAAGGCCTTGTTCCTAATCTGAAAGGGAAATGTCAGTACAGCACTGGCAGAGTGAAGGCCTCCTCGCTGTGCCTGAGGGAGCTGAAAGGACCCACCAGTGTGCGTCCACAACACTGTGAGGTAGCCTGTGAGTGCTGGCCTCTCCAGTGGAAAGATGCTCACAGGCCACACAGAGGATGGGCTCTCACTTCCATCCAGTGTCCTTCTATTTCGCTTGCATTCTTTCACTTTCAGATCAGCTGAGGAAGTCAGAGGAGGAGAAACAGGCCTTGCTGAGCAGAGTAGAGCAGCTGCAGGGTAAGTTTCCTCCTCAGCGTTACCCATACACAGGTGGTTTCTGGTGCTCCTGCCACAAAAGGCACGGAAGGAGGGCTCGTGGGCAGGCTCCAGTGTGTCCTGTTTCTGGGCATTCTCCAGCCCTCTTCCTGCAAGCTATTCTCCACAAGTTATACGGTTTGTCTCTTTCCCAAGGTATATATTAGCATCTATTCTTGTTTCCTTTCACCTTTTCTTCACTTACATTTCTACAAGAATTGCTGTGTGCATGTGTGTGCGAGTGCACAGTTGCCTGTACAAGATGCAATGAGGCAGGGGAGCTGTGGGGTAGAGTATCTTCTGCACTGTCCCCCGTCTGCACTTACGAAAGGACAAGTTGCTGTTTTCCAGCTAGGCTGGCTAGCCAGCAAGCCCCAGGGATCTTCCTTTCATGGCCCCCAGAACTGAGGGCATTGGGGAAACAGGTCGGCGTGCCCAGATTTTTACATGGATGCTGACGACCTAAACTCATGTCCTCATGCATGAACAGCATTGCCGCAGGCCTCAGAAGTGCCTGTTTTTCAAAAGTATTAGTCTTTCTAAGATAGTTCTTTTCTTCCTTCCTTCCCTTCTTTCTTTTTGTTTTGAGGCAGGGTTTCTGTTTCAGCCCTGCTCTTGTTCCAGAATGTCCTGGAACTCACTCTGTAGACCAGGCTAGCCTTGAATTGACAGAGATCTGCCTTCCTCTGCCTCCCAAATGCTGGGATTAAAGGCGTGCACACCATGCCAGTAGGACAGTTTTGTTTTGTTTTTTTTAACACATTCTATGTAATATATGTGAACATGTCACTTAGATCTGTCTCACTAGAGATGGTTCATATTCATCAAGGCCCTGCATAAGACTCAGGTATACTAGACATATGCACTGAGGTATACCAACATGCAAAAGTAATAGTTTCTTAAGAAACTTCCATTCTAGCTGGGCACAGTGGCACATGCTATAATCCCAGAACTCTGGGAGGCAGAGGCAGGCAGGTCCTTGCGAGTTCAAAGCCAGCCTGGTCTACAAAGTGAGTCCAGGTCAGCCAAGGCTACACAGAGAAAAAGAAAAACAACCCTGCCTTGAAAAACAAAACAGAAAGGAAAGAAGGAAAGAAAGAGGAAGGAAGGAAGGAAGGAAGGAAGGAAGGAAGGAAGGAAGGAAGG